CCTGTGGCAATATTGTAGTTACCTATTTATGCTGTCTAATACCTTCCCCTTCTCCCTCATCCTCACCCCACTCCCAACTAGCAACCATCAGTTTTTCCTCTATATCTCTGAGACAATTTCTGTTTACTTTGCTCAAACTTAAAAGTTTTTCACAGCAAAGGAAATCATCAATAAAACAAAAAGGCAGCCTACTGAATGGGAGAAGATATTTGCCAACGATATATCTGATAAGGGGTTAATAGCCAAAATTTATGAAACACTCATGCAACTCAACACCAAAAAAACACAACCCAATTTAAAAATGGGCAGAGGATATGAAGAGGCATTTCTCTAAAGAGGACATACAGGCATATGAAAAAATGTTCAACCTCACTAATTATTGGAGAAATGCAAATAAAAACCACAATGAGATACCACCTCAACTCTGGTCAGAATGCCTATCATCAATAAATCAACAAACAATAAGTGCTGGCGAGGCTGTGGAGAAAAAGGAACCCTGGTGCACTGTTGGTGGGACTGCAGATTGGTGCAGCCACTATGGAAATCAGTATGGAGGTATCTCAAAGAACTGGAAATGGAACTACGTATGACCCAGCAATTCCACTCTTGAGTATCTATCCTGATTATATTTTAAAGTCAAGTCAACAGGAATTTCCTGACAGGTTGGATATGGAGAACCGAAAAAAGAGAGGAGACAAGGATGTGCCTGAGGTGTTTTCCCAACAACTTAATGGATGGAACTGTCATCAACTGAGATAAAAGCTATGCAGCCAGTTTGAGAGGGAGGATCATGAGATTTGACATGGGCGTGTTATGCTTATTATAGTCCAGGGGTTGGCAAATTGCGGCTTGGCTTGTGAGCCACATGCGGCTCTTTGGGTACCTTCTGTCTCAAAAGTTTGCCAACCCCTGGAAGAGCCAATCCTGTCCTTCGAAACAATTTAAAAATTATTCAAGAGCCATACATATATTTTTACATAATCACCATTATGTAAATAACATCCTTTAAAATTTTTATAAATGAAACTATGATAGTTTTATTTTTGTTTTATTTTCATTTTCGGTTTTACTTCAGAGGCTCATGGGCCGCTGTTTGCTGACCCCTCGCGGCTCTTCCATCTCAAAAGTTTGCCGACCCTTGAGCTATTCAAAGAGATGTGTCGGGGAGGCAGCTGTTGTTCAAGAGAGAGGCCTGAGTCATTGATAGAAATTTGGGAGTTGTTAGAAAATGATGGTGTGTTGGTCAGGGTCCAATCAGGAAAGAGGAATCACATGGTAATTTGAATGGGAAAAGTTTATATTACAAATTATTGACTACAACAGGGGATTGGAGCAACGAGACATGAGCTAGTAAGAAGAGAACTTTAAAGAATGGAAAAATAACAGATCCGAGGAGCAGCAACTACCCTTGTGCAGAGATAGAGGGCCAGGAAGAGTCTTGTCTCCCCACCCCTCCCAACCCCAGCTGAGATCCAGACCTCACTGGAGGGGTATTGCCATGTGTCAGGGGAGTCCCAGTGGTGCTGCAGCACGGCAATGTGTTGGAAATCCCTCTTTAGGTGTTGAGAAAGGGGAGGTGTCTCAGTAGAGTCTCTCCATGGCAAACTGCTGGGAGGTGGTGGAGGAAAGTGAGGGGGTTGCTGCTAGCTACCAAGTACTGGAAGAGCCATCAGTGGAGAAGTCAAGCCACCTGCAGAGAGCAGAGCAGAACCAGGAAAGACTGTTCCTGCAAAGTCTCTCCATCGCCCTCTACTGACAAAACTTAACAGCATGCCAGTGTCAAAGGAAAAATATTTAAAGGGCCTAATCCATTTCTGCAGGGTAGGCAATGAAGAACAATTTGTAGCAGAGATACAATAAATTGGTAACTGATACCGATGGCATTGAAACTAGAAGACAGAATAACATCACCCAGGGAATAAGTATAGACACAGAAGAAAAGAAGACTAAAGGCTGAGCCCAGTGGGCTCTAACTTAAACAGGTCAGGTAGGAATGGAAGAACCAGCAAAGGCCACTGAGAAGGAAAAGCCAGGGCTGTAGGTGGTGTTCTGAGATAAGTGAATGTAAGAGAGAATAGGAGGAGAGGAACCAGAGAACATACAGACAATTCTTTTGTGAAATTTTGCTATACATGAGCACAGAGAAAAGCTGTAGTATCTGGTATAGGAAATGGGTTCAAAAAGAGTTTGTTTTGAAGATGAAATAACTGCATGTTGTATGATAATGGGAATAGTCTAGTAAAAACTGATGATTTGGGGGAGAGAATAGACTGGCTGGAGTGATGCCCTGGAAATGATGGAATCCAGCACTCAAGTGCAGGATTTGTTTTGGTGGACACAGCAGTTCATCTATAGTAACAGGCAAGAAGCAGAGGGGGGCATCGGTGGATGCAGTGGTTGGAGTCTCCATGTCCATTTTCTTAGTGAAGTAGGAAGGAAGTGGGAGGTGGTGGGAAGGATTGGAGAGAGAGGAGAGGTATGAAATGCTCATTTGGAAGAATGGCAGAGACCAAAGTTAGAAATATTAAAGTGTGGATGGTTACCATGGTTTTGGGTTTTCCCTAGCCATGTTTAGTTGGATTGCTGTAGCATGGAGGAGATGGAGAATTGGGTTTCTCTAGGCTTCTCATTTTACCAAGCAGATATGATGAGGTGAGGAAGTTAAGGAAGTATGCAAGATACTTTTTTGTGGGGGGGGGTTTAAAAAGATTTTTATTGGGGAATTGGGGGAAGAGGAACAGACAAGCTGCTGTCGTTTTTGTTCTTCAGTCTAGCTGTGGAAGACATTGCTTCACTGGCCCAAGTTGGCACCATCATTGCACTCCTCCGGGTGAGGCCGATCAGTCGACGGCTTCTGGACAGCCGCTCACGCTGGCTGCTGGCTACACACGGTAGCCCATGGCAACCTACTGCCACAGGGGCTGCAGCCCACGCCGTCGCCAGCGACTCATGGCATCCCAGCTCCAGGCTGAGCTGCTGCTCAGCATCCTAGCTGCAGAGGGCAGTGTCACTGGCCCTCATATGTGGGATCCGAACCGGGGCTCTCTGGCATCCCAAACCAGTTCCTAACCATCGTGCCACTCGGCCGGCCCAAGAGACTTTTGATAATGACTGACCACGGAGTTTAAGCTAGCTTACTAGGGAGGGAGGAGAAATTGTCAAGGGAGGAAGATAGTAAAATGTGGATTGGAGGTAGTGGTAGGGTTACTGGAGTTTTGGTTTCAGGGCATTAGGGGGAATAACCTGGAAAGACAGAAGGTGGTGGTTGGAGTGAAATTCTTGAGGGCTCGCAGTCCTTGGACCTGACAAGGTCTAGGGTATGATCACAGGGGAGTGAGGCTGAGCTAAGACAGAAGACAAAAGTGGGATTCATGGAGCCAAGAGGATGTTAGGGTTATAACCTGTATACTGAAATCTCCAAGGGGTAATAAAGGTAGTGTTGGAGTTACAAAATTCTAAGCTCTTCGCAGATGAGGGAAGGGTGTGCCCTATAGGGTAGCCTCCCTAGCAAAGCAGTGTATAATGAAGCAGAGAGAATACCTGAGATGCTGAGGGAGAAATCAAGCTTGCTGTGACACGAATGCGTACGGGGTCTCAGTCAGTCTACTTCTGTGGGGCAGAAGAACTAAGCCCTGGGGCGGCACTGGTAGGATTATACTGAAAAGAAAAACTCTCAAGACAAGACGGAGATACAAACTGAAAATGTATCTAGCTTTGTAGGCACAGAGCATCCACCTCACCTGAGATGGGGTTTAGAAAAACTCCAAGGCAGTCCCTCAGGTGGGACTGGGCAAACCTGTGCTAGAAAACTGCAAGAGGCTGGTTCTCCAAAGAAAGTCCCTTTACAAGAACAAAAAGGCCGAGGCATTTCATGCCGGGTCAGTTTAGTCCCTGTCCTCCAAGTCTGTTGGTCCTGGCAAACGAGGGAATTATAGCACTAAAAGAGCCCGAGAAATGTCCACCTCTGCCATCGTTAAGTATGAGCAAGCTGACGAGCCACAGCGACTCCCAACAGAGACATACTTAGGCGAGGCGGGAGAAGTGGTGCCTGGGGCTTTCGGAAGGGACGGACGCAGAGGCCAGGCCGCACGGTCGTCACAACCTGCGGAGGGGCGGGGGGGGGGGGGCGGAGGCGCACGCCGGTGTGCGCAGCGCTGGTACTCGGAGTCCCCGCTCTGTAGCACAGAACTTGCTGTGAGACCTCTTTTCCTGCCCAGGCCTGAGATTCTTGGGGCGCGGATCTAGCTGGAACGCACCGCGCAGACGTCACTTGTCCCTCAGCCAATCACGAGTCTTCCTTCCGGCTCTCCCCGAAAGTCGTCCCTCCCCGGTCTCTTTCTTCTGCCCCAGCCTTGTTTCCCGCCGGCGGGTACAGTATCTGCGTAGGGTGCCTTTCCGTTTCCGGCGTTGTCCATGTGGGCTTGAGGAGGAATGACGCTGTGAACCTGGTAAGAGCTGTGGGCTTGGGAAGGCGGCAGCAGTAGGGTCTCCAGGGCTGAGGCCTGGGAGGGTCGCGAGTCGCTCGCATGGTAGGGTCTTCCTTCGGTCTCTCGGGCAGTCTGTCCCCGAGGAGTGCTTCGGGCGCTGGATAGACATAGTTCATACCTACCAGAGAAGTGTTCCCAGGTCTTTGGGGGCCTGGCTGAATGAATTCGTGCTGAAAGAGGAGGTGGTGGGGAGAGTTAAGAGGTGGTTTCATGCCTTGGTAATCCTAGGAGGTGACAAACCTAAGCCAGGTCTGTTGACTTCCAATTGGGCCTTTTCTCCACCCATCCCCCATCCAAAAAGGCATCACGGACGTACAAGTTCAAAACCCAAATATAGTAGAGAAGAAAAATAATGTCCTGAAATCACACAGCTATTTAGTTTCCAAGCGTTCCTAGAACCCAGCTCTCCCAACCGCCGGCTCGTTTACGCTGGTGCATATGGACTTGATTTCCGCTGGCGTGAGTCTGTAGGAAACCTGACTGACCTTGCAGGACCTGATGTGGCCCCACTGCATGTCACGGAAGACATTAGTTTGAATATCCTCCAGTAGTCAGCGTAGCTGTAGCCGTCTCCTCGCACAGTGCCTAGCACATCATAGGCAGACACAAATATTTATTGAACTGAAATTAATTCAGTACCTTAATTGAGTGACGTGACTGCCGCCTATTCTCCTCCCCATCCTTTTTTAAATTAAGCGCTTGTAATGTATGCAAATTTACTAAAAGAAACTTATCCAGCGGTTCCAGGTTATGGGCCATGAATTCCTGGGACGCTCAGAAATCATTGTAAAGGGTTCTGCAAATCCATGTGGTCTCCAGGCATCATCCACAACCAATCATATCTCTCACACGCAGATATTACTGTTTTTAAAGTATATATATATAAAGTATATATATAAAGTATATAAAGTATATATATATATATAAAGTATATATATTTTAAAGTATATAATTGAAAAGTTTTACAGAATCAAACTAAAAGTAATACTGCTATCATGTTGGAGGGTTATTAAAATCTTTATTTTTAAAAATAAAGTATCTTAAAAGTAGTTTAAGTTTGGAAGCAATTGATATTAAAGGCTGAGCTGTCCAGTATATGGTAACCACTAGTCACATATGACTATTTAAATTTAGAGTTGAATTAGAATTAAATAAAATTTCAATTTCTTAGTTTCACTTGGTACATTTTAAGTTCTCAGAAGCCACATGTAGCTACTGTGTTGAAAAAGTGTAGCTATAGAATATTTCCATCATTGCAGAAATGGACAGTGCTGATGTAGACACTTAAGATGAATAAACAGTAATCTAAGCAGAGGTAACTAATTTAATTTGTAGCACAACAGAGGAGTGAAATTGGGGATAATATTAAGCAGTTAATACCCCTGTTAGGTGAACAAATACATATCTCTTCATAAAGAAATAAATGAAATTTATTGTTTTTCCCTGGGTGTTGTCTAGATTGTAAAATGCTTTGCATCCCACCCTGTCCCCCTTCAGTGTAGGTTAGGGTTACTTGTGAATTGGTGAAAAGCCACTATGGAGACGAAGGACCAGAAGAAACACAGAAAGAAAAACAGTGGGCCTAAAGCTCAGAGAAAAAAGAAACGGCATCTGCAGGATCTCCAGCTTGGAGACGAGGAGGATGCCCAGAAGAGAAACCCCAGAGCTTTTGCAGTCCAGTCTGCTGTGCGGATGGCTCGATCCTTCCACAGGTATGTGTAATTAGAGTCGTATTTTCTTTTTAAACAGTAGGAGCCTCTCCAGATGACGTTTGGCTTCATGAGTGAGTTCAGCTCTAAAGGACATGGAGATGCGTGCTATATTTCTTTTACTAAAGCATGAGGAGTATTTCTTGTGGAAGCTCCCTTGCCTCTAGCTTCTGCACAGTGATTAGCCTTTTTTGCCCAAGAAAAGCTGAAGAGTTTTTCTTTATAGAATTTGTTTGCAAACTTAAAACAATTTCTGTGGTAATAGGTGTGCTTGTGTTTTTTTTCCCATTAGGATATGATTCATATAATTGTAATATATACTATTACTGGTAAATAGCTTTATTTAATGAATCCTTACATGCCAAATAGTATACTTTAAACATTATTGAATTGAATTCTCCCAGTAAGAGAGCCAAATTTAACCCCAAAGCCTCTGTTCTTACTCATTGTGATACACTGCCTCCATGTTTGCCTTTTATTTTCCTTTAAAACAATTATAGTCAACTAATAAAGCAGTCAGATTTAAGGTTTGTATAGTTTTCAACACACTCTACTATTGAAGTGAATCTGTTTATATATATATATATATATATATATATATATATATATGTATGTATGTATGTATATGGTTCTTTTTTAAAGACTTTATTGGGGAATTGGGGGAGGGGAACAGCGTTGGGGAATTGGGGAAGAAGAACAGACAAGTTGGTATCCTTATGTTCTTTAGATTAGTTGTGGAGGATGTCGCTTCACTGGCCCAGGTTGGTATTGTGATCATTGTGCTCTTCCCGGGTGAGACAGATCGGTCGCTGGCCATTGGACGGCGGCTCACGGCAGCGCACGCTGGCTGCTCGATGCTCACACTGGCTGCCAGCCACTCATGGTAGCTTACAGCAGCCCACTGCAACAGGGGCTGCAGTCTACACTGTCTCAGGTAACTCAAGACAGCCCAGCTCCAGGTTGAGCTGTTCACCATCTTAGCTGTAGAGGACACAGTGTCTCTGGCCTACGTGGGATCCGAACTGGTGGCCCTGCTGCTCAGAGCTCATGCTCCCATGCCTACTCTTTTTTTTTTTTGGATTTTTTTATTGTGAAATAAACATGTTTAAAATTAGTTTCAGCTGTACAACACAGTGCAATAGTTATACTTTTTACCCCTCAAAGTGACAGCCCCCTCCCCCAATCTGCCGCCCCACTCCCCCCCATACCATACATATCTATTACAATTCCCTTGACTCCGCTCCCACACTATACTCCACTTCCTGTGTCTATATATATATTCAATTTTAGTTGACATACAATATTATACACATCAGCTTTAGGTGAACAGTGCAGTGATCAAGCCTCTACTCCATCCAAGAAGTGGTCTCCCTAACAAGACGTGGACATCTGACACCCTACAAAATATTTGCAACATTATTAATTATATTCCCCGAACTGTCTTTCATATCCCTGTGGCAATATTGTAGTTACCTATTTATACTGTCTAATCCCTTCCCCTTCTCCCTCATCCCCACCCCCCTCCCAATGAGCAACCGACAGTTGTTCCTCTATATCTCTGAGACTATTTACTTTGCTCGTTCATTCAGTTTTTTAGATTCCACAAATAAGTGAGATCATATGATATTTGTCTTTCTCCGACTGACTTATTTCACTTAACATAATGTCCTCTAGGTCCATTCATATCGTCGCAAATGGTACGATTTCATTCTTCTTTATAGCAGAGTAATACTCCATTGTATAAATGTACCACAGTTTCTTAATCCAGTCATCTACCGATGGGCATTTCAATTGTTTCCAAGTCTTGGCTATTGTGAATAGCAATGCAATAAACATAGGGGTACATATATTTTTTCGAATTAGCGTCTTGAGTTTCTCTGGATAGATACCCAAGAGTGGAATTGCTGGGTCATACGGTAGTTCCATTTACAGTTTTTTGAGATACCTCCATATTGATTTCCATAATGGCTGCACCAATCTGCAGTCCCACCAACAGTGCAGCAGGGTTCCCTTTTCTCCACAGCCTTGCCAGCGCTTGTTGTTTGTTGATTTACTGATGATAGCCATTCTGACCGGAGTTAAAGTGGTATCTCATTGTGGTTTTTACTTGCATTTCTCTAATGATTAGTGAGGTTGAACATTTTTTCATATGCCTGTTGGCTATCTGTATGTCCTCTTTAGAGAAATGCCTCTTCATATCCTCTGCCCATTTTTTAATTGGGTTGTTTGTTTTTTTGGTGTTGAGTTGAATGAATGTTTTATAAATTTTGGCTATTAACCCCTTATCAGATATTTCATTGGCAAATATCTTCTCCCATTCGGTAGGCTGTCTTTTTGTTTTCTTGATGATTTCCTTTGCTGTGAAAAAACTTTTAAGTTTGATGTAATCCCATATGTTAATTTGTTCTTTTATTTCCCTTGCCTGAGGGGATATCTCAGTAAAAATATTACTGAGGGTAATGTCTGCAAATTTACTCCCTATTTTTTCTTCTAGGAGTTTTATGGTTTCAGGTCTTACATTTAAGTCTTTAACCCATTTTGAATTTGTTCTTGTATATGGTGTAAGTAGGTGGTCCATTTTCATTTTTTTGCACGTGTCCAATTTTTCCTAGCACTATTTATGAAATAGACTATCTTTACTCCAATGTAAATGCTTGCTTTCATTGTCATAGATTAAATTACCATATATTGATGGGTTTATTTCTGGGCTCCCTATTCTGTTCCATTGGCCTATGTTTCTGTTTTTATGCCAGTACCATACTGTTTTGAATTCTGTAGCCTTGTAGTATGATTTGATGTTGGGTTGCATGATACCTCCCACTTTGTTCATATTTCTCAAGATTGCCGTGGCTATTCGGAGTCTTTTATGGTATAAATTTTAGGATTATATGTTCTATTTCTGAGAAAAATGTCCTTGGTAGTTTGTTAGGAATTGCATTGAATAGTGCCTTAGGTAGTACTGACATTTTAACTATATTCTTCCTATCCATAAACATGGTATGCATTTCCATTTATTTGTATCTTTGATTTCTCTCTTCAGTGTCTTAGAATTTTCTGAGTACAGGTCTTTTACTTCTTTGGTTAAATTTATTCCTAGGTATTTTATTGTTTTTGAAGCAATTGTAAAAGGGATTGATTTCTTGATTTCTTCTTCTGATAGTTTTTTATTGGTGTATACAAATGCAACTGATTTCTGAATATTAATTTTGTATCCTGCTACCTTACTAATTTCATTTATCAGTTCTAACAGTTTTTTGGTGGAGTCTTTGGGATTCTCCCTATATAGTATCATGTCATCTACATATAATGACAATTATACTTCCTCCTTTCCAATTTGGATGCCTTTTATTTCATTTTCTTGTCTGATTGCTGTGGCTAGAACTTCTAGAACTATGTTGAATAGAAGTGGTGAAAGTGGGCAGCCTTGTCTTGTTCCTGATCTTAAGGGGAAAGCTTTTAGCCTTCCCCCATTGAGTACGATGTTTGCTGTGGGCTTATCACATATGTCCTTTATTGTGTTGAGATATGATCCCACTATTCCCACTTTGGTAAGAGTTTTTCTCATAAATAGCTGCTGGATTCTGTCAGATGCTTTTTCTGCATCTATTGATAGGATCGTATGATTTTTATTTTTCATTTTGTTAATGTGATGTATTACATTAATTGATTTGCGGGTATCGAACCAACCTTGCATACCAGGAATGAATCCCACTTGATGGTGGTGTATATTCTTTTGAATGTGATGCTGAATTCGGTTTGCTAGTATTTTGTTGAGGATTTTTGCATCTATGTTCATTAGGGATATCAGCCTGTAGTTTTCTTTTTTTGTAATATCTTTGTCTGATTTTGGGATCAGAGTAATAGTGGCCTCATAAAATGTGCTTGGGAGCCTTTCCTCCTTCTGTATTTTTTGGAATAGTTTGAGGAGAATAGGTATGAATGTTTTGTAAAATTCACCTGTGAAGCCATGTGGTCCAGGACTTTTGTTTGTTGGAAGCTTGTTGATGACTGACTCAGTTTCTTTGGTAGTAATCAGTCTGTTCAGAGTTTCTGTTTCTTCTTGGTTCAGACTTGGTAGATTGTATGCTTCTAGAAATTTATCCATTTCTTCCAGATTGTCGAATTTGTTGGCATATAGGTGCTTGTCGTATTTTCTTACA